CCCCCCCCCTTCCTTTTTGCTCTGTGTCTAAATTAGCCACAACCAAGCCCAATTTTCTCCTTTTGCTAAAGTTGACTTAGGCTCCTAGCCAGGGGCAACATTGCAACCGCTTACCGGCCAAGAGCCTCAGTGGAAAGTTCAGAGCCTCCAGGAAGGAGCTGGACAGCCCTGGCACCTGGTGCCTCGGCTGGGCAGGAGCTTCCGGGGAAACATCTGGGCAGAAGGGAAACGGCGCTGGGCCTCCCTGGCTCCGGGAACAGGTGGCCTCATCCATTCTCACCTGAAGAGGTGCTGCAGACAGACAACGGGGAGCATTGGGGGGGAAGTCTTAGCGGACAATCAATTCAATATGAGCCAGCAGTGTGTGGCGACAGCCAACGAAGCGAATGCCATCCTAAGTTGCATGAACAGAGGGATACAATCGAGATCAAGGGAGGTGCTCATACCACTCTAGAAAGCCTTAGTAAGGCCACACCTAGAGTCCTGCATCCAGTTTCGGTTACACCACACCATAAAAAAAGATGTTGAGACTCTGGAAAGAGTGCAGAGAAGAGCAACCAGGATGATTGGGGGAATGGAGGCTAAAACATACGATGAACAGTTGCAGGAACCGGGCCTGGCTAGGGAAGAGAAGGACCAGGGGAGACAGGAGAGCAGCCTTCCAATGTTTGAGGGGGCTGCCCCAGAGAGGAGGAAGGGGTCAAGCTATTTTCCAAGGCACCTGAAGGCCAGACAAGGAATAATAACGGATGGAAACGGATCCAGGAGAGATTCAACCTGGAAATAAGGACAGTGAGAACCCATAGAACAGAAGCTGCCTTCAGAAGTTGTGGGAGCTTCATCCCTGGAGGCTTTCAAGAAGAGACGGAACTGCCCTCTGTCAGGAATGGTGTAGGGTCTCCTGCTTTGGCGGGGAGGGGGTTGGACTAGATGACCTACAAGGTCCCTTCCAACTCAGTTAATCTGTATCTGGATTGGCCGGGGAGGGTTGTACCTTCAGGATCTTCCGCTGGGAATCCGGTTTGAGTCTGTCCCCTCCAATCCAGAAAAATATTTTCGCTCTTCTTGGTCACTTCCAAACCCCTTTGCAAATACGGACCTGAAATGGAATTCCAGGTTGATTTCTTCCCCCTCCCCACAAGATGCCCCCAGCAAATCAGATTCTGGGAAGAAACGGCCGTAATTCGAGGCCCTGCAGCTGGGCACGGACGCTGGAGCAAACCCTAAACTACCTCTGTGTCCTGAGATGCCACTTGGGCCCCTCGGCTCAGGAGGCTGTGGGTGGGTGGGTGGGCCTTAAGAGAAGCCCCTGCTTGCACATCCTCTCCTGGTGGGCACAAAAGGACGGGGGAGAGGGGGCACCCTTCTTGGTCCACTCCAGCTGGGCAGATGTCCTTTGAAGCAGTGGAGACCACAAGGTCTCCAATTCTTGCCAGGCCCCGCAAGCGGGCCACCGGGGACGATGAGTCCTCCCCTCCCGGACCTCAAATGCCTTGTGGTTATTGGTCAGTTTCCACCAGGTCTCTCCTGACCCAGACAAACCAGCCAGCCCTGTGGACAAAGGGACAGGCCAGACTGGACTGGCTTCACCGTCTGCCCAGTTGAATGTCAGGTCTGCAAACCACCAAACCTTCCTTAAGTTCGTTTTTAAAACGTTGCCCTCTGCAGAGGCCTCCTTTTTTTTTTTTGGAGGGGGCTCTGTCAACCTCCTTCTGTCAGAAACGGGGTTAAACCGAGCCTTTCCTGGCAGATGGCACCCGAGGCAACAATGTGCGGCTTGCAGGCGGAGGCTAGCTGGACCACTGGCTGACCAGCAAGAGCCCTGGTCAGCTGGGTTGGCAGCCAGGGTGGGGAAAGGTTTGTTCAGCAGGAGGGTTTGGATAAATATTTACCTCCCGAGGGCAGGTGCCCCAGCCTGGGCAGCCTCAGGTGAGAGAAGGAATCCGATGGCCAGACAAGAGCGCTTTCCCAGGTGCCAGCGAAAGGGCTGTGCCAATGCTGGCACCTATCCTGCTGCCTGGAGAGAGGCCCTTCCAAAACCAACCAATCTGGTCATCGTGGAGGGCTGGCAAAGCTGGACACAGGAAGCCTCTGTTTTCCCCCAGCCACCAAGCCAGGCTGCCCAGGCACTAAGAATAGCAACCGGACAGGAGACGGGGAAGTGCGTTGAAAAATACCTTTGCGGATTTGGTCTTTGCAGAGCTCTCTTCCAACGCCAGCAGCAGCACGTGGCACGAGGCACATTGGCTCC